GGATATTGAAAGATTTCTTCGTCAAACGTCTTGGTTTCACTTTCAAAGTAAGATGAATCTTGTTGAGACCGAAAACAAAACCTTGGATTCCTTCTAACAAACGTACGAATTGGTTAAAGCCAAATATAAATATATTATTTAACCAAAACCCATTTGATTCACACATAGGATATTTATCTACAAGTTTTTGAAACTCAATTAGATATGAGGGAATTAGAAAAGGTTTTAATCTTTTAAACTTGATATCTAACTCCCTCAAAGATCGAGAAACAAAGACAAGATTTATAATAACAAGATAACCAACACCAATAAGAAGGAAAAGCGTTGAAACGAAAAAAGCCCAACCACTTGGTGATCTAAAATGTGTTGATGTTTTAGTATTTCGTTGCAACCTTTCATTAGCTAGAAGACGGTTATGTAACCACTTACTTGAGATTTCACTTGTTATAAAAAAGGGCAACAATTTCATCTTAAAAATTTGCCATAATAAATACAAAATCTCCCAATAAATAGATATCCTACTATTTAATATTGAAACTATATCTATCAATAGAGAATAGAGATATTTGTACCCTGTCAAAGTAAAGAAGTTTGGCAAATTCATTTGGAAAAGATTTAATTTTTCTGATAAAATGGAAAAAAAATTCTCTCTATGAAAAGTTGTTGCCATCCGTCTTTTCTGAAACACAGCGCCTTTTTTTCGATTTTTTTTGTTTTGAAATGAAAAATATTTATAAGAACAGGGAATGTCAACCAAATCCATATCCATATTTAAATTAAAATTAGGATATTCTTGAAAGTGATTTTCTTCTGAATCATATAGATTTCTATTTAGATCTGAAAACGGTTGACAATAAGTTGTTTCCAAATTGACTATTTCTTCCTCTGTAGAAGATGTTCCAAAAGTATTTAGAATCAAATTAGGCATGACTGGATCGGATTCCCTTACAGAATTAAAAAAATTCTCAAAGTTATACCGTGGGTCACCATTTTTGGCAAAATCCTTAAATAAGGAATCAATTAGTGAAATAGTAGCTCTATCCCCAAAAACCTGTCTTTTTTTCCCACCACCTAAAGAAACTTTTTGATTCCCAAGGAACAAGCTATTTAGAAATTGCTCATAGAGAAAATACGAATTAGTATTCCGAGTCCTTTCCACAGAAAATGGAAATCTTCTCTTACAATCTAACCAAAAGTTAGAGTTAGGGCGAATATTAAAGAAGCGAAGTCTATTTGCTTTATAAAAAGCGGATATAAGTGAACTTCTTTCAAATAGGTTCATGGGATGAAACCCATTAGCCTTTTCATCAAAATATTTTGGTCTAGTAAGCAATGCATCAATCCTCTCTTTTGCTATATTATGAAACAAAAAGGGTGATCTTTTTGTTTCATTGATAACAAAGTTCGACGTACCAGACTCTTCCAACAAAAAGGGGTTTAATTTTTTTAAATAAATCATTTTAAACCCTATTGATTCCAACAACTGATTACAAAGTTGACCGTTCGGTCCTTGTAATTGATAGATATAGATTTCGGACCTCTGAACAGGACTAGTACCAAAACTTACACAGGAAAAACCAAGTGAATTAGACAAAAAGAAAAGCAACTTGATCATACAGTGAAATCCCTTCGTAAAAAAAAAACGAAGTGACTGGGGAAAAAAGAAGAAACGTACTGATTTGGACAACTTGGTAAAAACTAAAGGAACTAACTTATACACATTTTTTTTTACTTTGATTTCTACTTCCCTGCGAACCTTAGACCAATAAATCCATTTCTCAGTTATTTTATCAATAACATAAATACATAATTTATAAACTTTCTCAAACATCATTTGCAAATGGCCCTTTCGGACTTGAACATACATTTCAAAAAGTCTTTTCTGCTCATAAAGAAAATGTTTTGAATTTTCTTGTAAACTCTTTGCCCCATTTGACCATTTGGATCTATATGGATGACCCTGTTTTATTTTATATGTCATATGAGTTAGATGATTGAGAAGACCCGTTTCTTTTTGATCCCCTTGAATTCTCCTAATTCGATATTTGAAATTGTGATTGGATATATTTATGAAAACAAATTTATTTAATAGATTTCTTATGTACACATAGGTACTAGATTGCATTTGAATCATATTGTGAATGAATCTATATCTATATAGATTCACTGCTTCAATCCATACGCAGTTTTGGCCCGTTCGCTGAAAAAAAGAGTTATTCTCCTTATAACGAAAAAAAATAGGCGAAAGAGCCAACAAAGATTGATTTTTTGATTCAGTCCTAGTATTGAATATTTTATTCAATAATTTGATTTTATGCAATTCATATGAATCTATATTAACAAAAAAAGTAAATCCCTGATTATAGACTGGATCCGGCTCGCTTATTGTCAGAATAAATAAACCTGGACTTTTTTGTAATTTTTTTTCTGATTTCCAATTATGTTGTAGCACATAGCTTCCTTGTTTACTTTCAAGGAATCGGTTAACAAAAGAAAATAATGGAGTTTTTTTAAGAAATCCAGTATTCTTCGAATTTTCTATTTCGGGATCCAAAGAAATAGACTTAATTAAAACAGTCCTTTTTAAATACGTAAGTATTCTAAATAGATTAACTATTTCTTTCTTTTCCGCTTGCCGGACAAAAGAAAGAGATTTATTCCTAAATTTCGGATCCATATTGGACTTAGCAATAGGAGTTGATCCCATATAAAGTTCTGACCATCTATCAGAGTAAAATGAATAAAGGGACCTCGGGGCATTGCCCCGAGATTGTTCCCTTTCTTTCGGAAACGGAAGGCTTAGCGTGGGTTTACGGCCTTTGATCTCTTTTTGTTCGGTTTTAAGAAAGTAAGGATCCCAAGAAGTTGATCTTTGTTTTCGTTGTTTAAATTTTCTTTTATTCATTAATTTGGAATATTCGGAATCCTCATTTCTAATGGAATCCAAAAAATTTCTATCCAAGGATCCTTTCGGTTGGCCGGAATCTTTTACTTGTAAGGAACTAGATCTTGTGGAATCATAAGGAAACTCCAGCGATTTTTTATCTTTTAATAATACCAGATTTAAACCAAGAAGTTTCATTGGAATTTCTCTAAATTCCGTTCTAGTTCGTCTAATAATTTCTCTAATAAAGTTTTTCCCCTGCGTCGAATCTGACTTTGATTGAGGCATGTTAGGTTTTTTTTTTATTGGCAAAACCCGAGTATTATAGTTCGTATTCAGTAAATCAATATCAATTTGATTTTTGCCTTTTGGAAAAGAAAGGAGTAAAATACTCAATCGATTTAGAGTAGAATAACCACTATCTTGATCAGTTATGGATTCACTGCAATTCATCGGTATAGGAAAAAGTCTTTTTAAATAGAGATTTTTTCTTTCAACCATATTTTGATTGCTAATACGATAAATAAAGATAACAACGCCAACGAAAACTAGTAAAACTCCCTTAATCTTGACCGATCGATTGCTTTTTGAACCCTGCAAATTAGGTGAAAGTACAAGACTCCAAATTTGTGGGTCAAACAGTTTTAAAAACCGTTCTTGGGAGACTAAAATATGAATGGAAGATCCGATTGAATTCAATTGGGTCCATGAATCTAAAAAATATTTTGATTTTTTAATCTCTCTCAGTATCTCTCGTAATTCTAGAATCCAGAACTTGTTTTGCTTAGGTTCCATCTCATACCTCCATAAGATTTTATGCAAAAATTTTAAGTACTTGTTTTATATAATTGACTATTGACTATTTAATGTAAAAATAGAAATGATAAATAGAGTCTTTGTTTAGTATTTCAGATTTCCGAAATTCTTTATTTAAACGACATTTTTTTATGTAATATTTTTTGCTGTAATTCGATATTGAATATTAGATTCTCTATTCCTATCATATCCTATCATATAAAATAAAATATCATTTTTTTTTATTTGCAATTCCAAGATTCATAATTACCATAATTATTATATTTTAATTTTCAATTTTTATAGATGATGGTCTCGTTTAAGCATCCATAGCTAAGTGGTTAAAGCGCCCAACTCATAATTGGCGAAGTCGTAGGTTCAATTCCTACTGGATGCACACTATTAGCACTATTAGTTATTTACACAAAATCTCATTGACCCTCCAATTCTTCTTTTTATGATATTTTTGTTATATTTTAGGATATATATTAGCATAGATCTACTTTGAGCATTTCCTTCATAATCCATATTAAATATCATATAAGATATATGCTCCTAGATAGATTTGTCCATATCAAATATCATAGAAGATATATGTTCCTAGATAGATTTCATGTTGACTATTTCCATTTCATATATCATAATAGATAATTCTAGGATACCGATACATATAGAGAATCTATCTCTATATTAGAGATATAGATAGATTCTATCAACACTCAAAATTAACATTTTTATTTCAACTTAAAATAATACGGAATGAATTAAAATTCGGGATGGAATAAAAGATATAATATTAAAAAAAAGAATTTAGTTATTAAAAAATAATAAATAGACTTTTTTTGAAATCCACGTCATAAACTTTGAGTAGTGCTACGCTTCTGGCAAAGGGTCACATAATGGTAGGCCCTCCCTATTAGAGGACATATAATGCAATGGCTACCGCAGATCATTAGACATTGGCTTACACCTCCAAACAAATAAACTTTAAATCCAAAATAAAAATCATTTATATCATGGGAATACAATTATACAAAACTTATAACCCGAGCGAAACCGTAAACAGCCCAAAATTTGCTCGAAGAAAAAATTTGCTCTCTGGAAAGCATCATTGTGGTAAAGGTCGTAATGCTAGAGGAATCATTACAGCAAGGCATAGGGGGGGGGGTCATAAGCGCCTATACCGTAAAATAGACTTTCGACGGAATGAAAAAGACCTATATGGTAGAATCATAACCATAGAATATGACCCTAATAGAAATGCAAACATTTGTCTAATACATTATAAGACTGGTGAGAAGAAGTATATTTTACATCCGAGAGGGGCTCAAATTGGAGATACCATTGTTTCTGGTACAAATGTTTCAATCAAAATTGGAAATGCCCTACCTTTGACCGAAATCCCCTTAGGCACGACTATACATAACCTAGAAATTACACGTGGAAGGGGTGGACAATTAGCTCGAGCAGCGGGTGCAATGGCGAAACTGATTGCAAAAGAGGGTAAATCAGCTACATTAAAATTACCTTCTGGCGAGGTCCGTTTTATATCCCAAAACTGCTCCGCAACAATAGGACAAGTCGGGAATGTTGGGTTCAACCAAAAAAATTTGGGTAGAGCTGGAGCTAAACGATGGCTAGGTAAGCGTCCTGTAGTCAGAGGAGTAGTTATGAACCCCGTAGACCATCCACACGGGGGCGGTGAGGGTAGAGCTCCTATTGGAGAGAAAAAAACCTACAACCCCTTGGGGTTATCCCGCACTTGGAAGAAAAACTAGAAAGAGGAATAAATATAGTGAGAAGCTCATTCTTCGTCACCGCAGTTAATATAATAGTATAATATAGTTAATAGAGTGAATATACTTAATGTAATATATATAGTATAAAAATTAATATAATAGAACAAATTAAATTTATTCATTCAATTATATGAAAAATAAAAAAATAAAAGAATAATAAAATTTATAGGAGTAAACTGTGGCACGTTCACTAAAAAAAAATCCCTTTGTAGCTCATAAATTATTAAAAAAAATTGAGAAACTTAACACAAAGGGAGAAAAAGAAATAATAATAACTTGGTCCCGGGGATCTACTATTATTCCAATAATGATTGGTCATACTATTGCCATTCATAATGGGAAAGAGCATCTCCCTATTTATATAATGGATGATATGGTCGGACACAAATTGGGAGAATTTGCAACTACTTTAAATTTTCGAGGACATGCAAAAAATGATAAGAAATCTCATCGGTAATGTGAATACTAAAAAATATTTTGATGCTTATAAGTCATTAGTAGGAGGCAAATTTTATGTACCAGATGCTAAATAAAAAAACCCCAGAAGTATACGTTTTAGGTCGACGTATAGCTATGTCGGCTAATAAAGCACGAAGAGTTATTGACCAAATTCGTGGGCGTTCCTATGAGGAAACACTTATTATATTAGAACTCATGCCCTATCGTGCCAGTTATCAAATTTTAAAATTGGTTTATTCAGCCGCATCAAATGCTAGTTACACTATGGCTTCAAATAAAGCAAATTTAGTTATTAGTCAAGCTGAAGTTAATGAGGGGACTGCTGGAAAGAAATTAAAACCTCGGGCTCGCGGGCGTAGTTATCCAATAAAAAGACCGACCTGCCATATCACTATTGTACTAAAAGATATTTCATTCAATGATTCTGAATCCGTGGAGCTCGGTTTGCTAAAAAAACCACAAGCGAAAAAAAATTCTAGAACTAAAGCATATTCTGATATCCAGAAAAGGAGGTATTTATGGGACAAAAAATAAATCCACTTGGTTTCAGACTTGGTACAAACCAGGCCCATTATTCACTTTGGTTTTCGCAACCAAAAACGTATGCTGAAAATCTGCAAGAAGATCAAAAGATAAGAGCTTTTATAAAAAATTATGTACAAAAAAATAGAATCAAACCCTCGGGTACCGAGGGAATTGCAGGTATATGTATTAAAAAAAGACTCGATCTAATCCAAGTCATAATCTATATTGGATTTCCCAAAGTATTCATTGAAAATAGCCCGCAGGGAGTTGAAGAATTACAAAAAGCTCTACAAAAAAAATTAAATTTCGTAAACCGAAAACTTAATATTGCTATCACAAAAATTGAAAAACCGTATGGAAATCCTAATATTCTTGCCGAATTTATAGCTGGACAATTAAAGAATAGAGTTTCCTTTCGAAAAGCAATGAAAAAAGCTATTGAATTAGCTGAACAAGCAGATACAAAAGGAATTCAAGTACAAATTGCGGGACGCCTTGACGGAAAGGAAATTGCACGTGTGGAATGGATAAGAGAAGGAAGAATTCCCCGCCAAACTATTCAAGCTAAAATTGATTATTGTTGTTATTCAGTTCGAACTATCTACGGGGTTTTAGGCATAAAAATTTGGATATTTTTTGATCAAGCTCAATAAAATTTTATTCATTCTTTTTACCTGTAATACCGAGCGGCCATTTCACAAATTATTTTGTGTAATGAGCAGGAACAGTTCTAATTGATAATAATGAATTCTATAAGGTTGAATAAAAATTTTATTTATTTTTAATAAAAATATCATTGCTATGCTTAGTGTGCGACTCGTTTATTTTTTAAGGTTAGCATGAAACCAAACCCAAAGTAACAACTACTAACTCGAGAAGAAATTACCTAATAATTAACTCATCAATTTCGCATTATCTGGATCTAAATAACCAGTCACGATATGATTACCGCTCATATCGTTGTAGCAACTGCCATTTATTTGCATAAACGAAAAATAGTATTCAAATATTATTGAAGTTGCGAAGCAAAATATAAAAAAGATGTGGATAATTGGAAGGGAGAGAGAAAGGGAGAAAAAGAAGCTCAATGATTGAAAATTCCAATATGTAGGGTCTAACAAAACAGGCAATGTAATGAAGCATTAATACTTAAATTCTGCATATTAAAGTATTTAAAATAGAATAAGAAATCTAAGAATATTCAATAATAAAAAACAATATACTCTTATTATAGAAATCTATAATCTATATATAAATATTCAATTAGATATTAAATATAGAAGAGATAAAATAAAAAAATAAAGTCAAGAGCTTAAAGCCAATAAAGACTAAGAAAAATGGCTAAAGACTTAAATTATTCATATATTATTACTATTTGAGCTCCATTGTAAAATTAGGACCTAACCATTAAGTAAGAAGTGATGGGGACGACGGAACTTATGAGAATACAAAAGATTCAATTCAATTCAAGATGAAATAAAAAAAAATCTTAAACATTCACTGGCTGGGATGGCGGAATAAACCAATGTTAAATTATTTTATTTCTAGATACTAGCTATAAGATGTCACAAACTCGTCCTAGAAATGAAATCTAAATTGACAGAGTCAATATTCGCCCGCGAAAACTTTTTTCAAAAGAATCAATATTCAATCTAAAGCAATATAAAGAATAGTCAAAAATGAAGGATTAGTTAGACTCAGAGAATCATGAAAAAACTGTAGAATAATTCATTTCAATTCAAATAGATTTAAAAAAAGATCACTCAATCCCTAAATATTATTTTGACTTCTCAGTCCAGACTTTTATTATCTATCTTTAGATTTAGATATCTTCACTATGATTAGTCAATTTGAGTCAAACGCTCATTTTGTAAATACTTTATTCGTAATTCGCGAGGAGCTGGATGAGAAGAAACTCTCACATCCGGTTCTGTAGTAGAGATGGAATAAATAAAAATCCATCAACTATAACCCCAAAAGAACCAGATTCCGTAAACAACATAGAGGAAGAATGAAGGGAATAGCTTCTCGAGGGAATCATATTTGTTTCGGTAAATATGCGCTTCAAGCACTTGAACCCGCTTGGATCACATCTAGACAAATAGAAGCTGGGCGACGGGCTATGACACGAAATGCACGTCGTGGAGGAAAAATATGGGTACGTATATTTCCCGATAAACCAGTTACTGTACGACCCGCAGAAACACGTATGGGTTCAGGAAAAGGATCCCCTGAATATTGGGTTGCTGTTGTTAAACCCGGTCGGATACTTTTTGAAATGGGTGGAGTAACAAAAAATATTGCCAGAAAAGCTATTTCAATAGCAGCATCAAAAATGCCGATACAAACTCAATTCATTATTTCGGAGATAGAATAGACGATATAACTCTAGAACCAACCCAAAGAATCTTAAGAATGAAACAAAAACAAAAAAAAAAGAGGTTTCGTTTTATGTTTGTGGACAAAAAATATTTCTTTTTTTCTTCGCCCTTTGCATTGTGAAAGAAAAGAATAAAAAAAATGCTATGATTCAATCCCAAACCCTTTTAAATGTAGCGGATAACAGCGGGGCTCGAAAATTGATGTGTATTCGAATAATAGGAGCTAGCAATCGTCGATATGCTTATATTGGTGACATTATTGTTGCTGTTATCAAAGAAGCTGTACCTAACATGCCTCTACAAAGATCTGAAGTAGTTAGAGCCGTAATCGTGCGTACCTCTAAAGAACTAAAACGTGGCAACGGGATAATAATACGATATGATGATAATGCCGCAGTTGTTATTGATAAAGAAGGAAATCCAAAAGGGACCAGAATTTTTGGTCCAATCCCCCGGGAGTTAAGACAATTAAATTTTACTAAAATCGTTTCATTAGCTCCTGAGGTATTATAAAAAAAATTAAAAAATGGAGTAGAATCTGTCTCACGTATATAACTTTAAGATTAAAATAAAGTAAGATAAACACAATAATCCATAGACAATAAAAAAAACACGTTGAGAGTAGAAAAATTTTTAGCTCCATAATTAGAGTTCATCATGGGTAGGGACACTATTGCTGAGATAATAACTTCTATACGGAATACTCATAGGGATGGAAAAAGAACAGTTCGAATCCCATCCAGTAATATTAACGAAAAGATTGTAAAACTCCTTTTAAAAGAAGGTTTTATTGAAAGTGTGAGAAATCATCGAGAAAACAACAAAAATTTTTTAGTTTTAACTCTGCAACATATAAACACTAAAAAAAGGACCTTTAGCAATATTCTAAATTTAAAACGGATAAGTCGACCCGGTCTACGAATGTATTCTAAGTCTAAAAAAATACCTAAAATTTTAGGCGGGATGGGGGTTGTAATTCTTTCTACTTCACGTGGTATAATGACAGACCGAGAAGCCCGACTGCAAAGAATCGGGGGGGAGATTTTGTTTTATATATGGTAATATTTTCAAGATGCCAATTAGGTAGAAACTTTCCATTTCTATGATTCCCAAATGGGATATTTTAGAATCTAATGAAATCCCCATTCCTTATTGCTTCTAGGTCACTGAAATAAAGAATAAAGTCCTTCGGATGAAAGAACAAAAATCACTTTCCTTTTTTCAAGAATTTTTTTATTAAGGAATCCTTTTCAAATAGTATGTTCTGGTTTTCTTTTTTATTGATTTAGATAATCAACTAATAAAGTAATAAAGATTGGATTATAAGTTCTTTTTGTGAAAATAGGCTAAATTCATTTTTAGTTTAGACGGATAACTTCAGAACAAGTCGATGAAGCTTTTGCAACACAACAATGATTCAAAGGAGTCATTTTTAAACTTAGCTATCTCTTTGGCAAAAATAACAAAATTAGAAATTGAAAATAAAAAAAAAAATGAATGTTTTTATTATAATCTTCCAATCAAACCGAAACTCTAAAGTAAATTTAAAAGAAATGTAAGGAGTCTGAATATGAAAATAAGAGCTTCTGTTCGTAAAATTTGTGACAGATGTCGATTAATACGGAGAAGGGGACGACTTATAGTAATTTGTTCCAATCCCAGACATAAACAACGACAGGGATAATAAGACTTCGCAACTTAACTTAGTAACTAAACCAATTATAGAAATGAAAGAATCGTGAAATGGATATATCCATATAGTATATCGCTGACTCAGATTTACAAAATGCTTAATGGTAAAATATATATCGAGAATTAGTT